GGGAAGTACTGAATCAGAAGCTCTCTCCTAAATAAGGCGTCTGTTTTTAAAAACACAAACCTTTTGCCTCCTGTATCTGCTGCTCCCTGGATGGCTGAATCGCTCGTTTTTATACATGAGTAAAGTGTGACTGGTGCTGTGAATCATCATTTGTTAACTCTCCATATCTGGTCTGTGTTGAAACTTTGCTTGTAAAGACCTAGAGAAAGTCTTTGTGCCCGAGATTAAAAAACAAAAATCAAATCCATGCTCAAAACTCTCCCTGTTTTGAGTTGGTGAAAGAATCTTTCTTTTCGCAAAATCCTCTGAATCAATAATTGCTTATTTGCCTTGCTTCTGCTCTTCCTCATAAAGAAGCATTGTCTGTTTGGCATTTCGTGAAATAATCAATGCTGGGTATGTTTGAGTATCTCCAACGAGGCGGCACAATTTGACGAACAGCCGTAAGGAAAACGGAAATATCAAACTTTTGGCGTAGCATTGCTCCGAAAAGGGTAGATTTTGAGAATAACAATGAAAGGAAGTGTGCTTGTGTATGCATGTTTAGACTCCATTGTCTGTTGGTGGCGTTCAGTGAAGTTGGTGGGTTCTGAAACTTTTTGGAGGACAGCAGGCCTTGCGTCCAAGGGGAAATCTTGAGTCTCAGACTTTTCTTTCATGAAAACGCCTCCCGTGAGGCAATGAGACAAATCGGGCTCTACGAGGGATGGGAACCTTTTTGAATTGAGGGCCGTGTTCCTTCATGTGCCCATTTCTGTGGTGCATTGTGGCCACAGGCAAACAGTGGGTTGAGCAACAGATGCAACTCCTCCTTTAGGCGACTTTCCAGCTATGCAGGAGTCAGATATTTCTACAGAGAGACACATCTCTCCTTGCCCTTATCCAAGCAAGCAAGAAACATGTTCGCGGTTCAGGGATGCAAAAAACGCTTGAAGGTGGGGAGCAGGGCTGATGAGTATTGTTATTATTTTGACTGTTACATTATCTCGTTATTTCCTCCAAGAAGTTCAAAGTGGTGTATAGGGTGTCTCCCTCCCCATGTTTTCTTCACAACAGCCCTGTGAGGTCGGTTGGGCTGAGAGACAGCGATTGGCCCAAGGTCACCCCAGTGAGGGATGTGGGGATTTGAACCCATGTCTATCGTGTTTCTAGTCTAGTACCACCCAGTTTGTGTTACCTCTGAGGAGACAGACCCACTGACTTGGAGGGTTTCCTCCCCTCTTCATAGTAAAGGTTCTGTGTGTGTTTGTGTACGAATGCAACAAAAACTAGGTTAAGATGGGTAAATGTTAAATTGTAGGTATAAAAGTGATGCAATGAGATATGGGCTACTTTTATGAATTGCACAACTAATATCTTCAGTATCTCTTTGTTAGGTATTACGGACACTAATTAGTTGGTGTCTGATTTGTACTCAGTGTTGCCATGTACTTAGGTTTAATTTCTTTGGAAGAACTTGTATTAATTCATCTTGTATTTTTATGCTGTGAACCACCCTGACATCTGCGGATGAAAATATCATTTAATAAATAATATTTAATATAATGATGATGATATAAATGGTAGTAAAATGCTTGGGCCCTGATCCCAGTGAAGTCAAGCTCCTGTCAGCAGCAATGAGACTTGAATTATTTTTATTTTTTAAAACAAATTTTATATATACCACTTGATCGTAAGACAGCCTCTAAGGAGTTTAAAATATATTAAATGCGTACTGCTGATGCTTAAAGCTGCATGCTAGGCAGCAGAGGGACGCGGGTGGCGCTGTGGTCTAAACCACTGAGCCTCTTGGGCTTGCCGATTGGAAGGTTGGCGGTTCGAATCCCCATGATATGGGGTGAGTGTGTGTTGCTCTGCTCCCATCTCCTGCCAACCTAGCAGTTTGAAAGCACGCCAGAGCAAGTAGATATATAGATACCGCCCTGGTGGGAAAGTAAAAGGCACTTTGTTGCAGTCTTGCTTCTGTCACGGTATCTCGTTGTGCCAGAAGCAGTTTAGTCATGCTGACCACATGACCGGAAAGCTGCCTGTGGACAAACGCCGGCTCCCTTGGCCTGAAAGCGAGATGAGCACCGCAACCCCATAGTCGCCTTTGACTGGACTTAACCATCCAGGGGTCCTTTACCTTTATTTTTATTTAAAAAAACCCACAAACAAACAAAACCTGCTAAGCAATGTGCTTCTTCAACCCTGAAGCATTTTCTAAATATCTCGTTTCCCATGTTTTATTGTTAGCCTTCGAGTTATCTGGATTCACCTTTTCTGTGCTCCTAGGTTTGTGATACACAAGCAGTTGGCACCCTAATGCATTCCTGAAATATCTTGGTGTAACCAAGGAAGCTGGATGGGTTGTCAGCCGCATAATTGTGTGTTGAGTATCTTTTGCCCATTGCCAAAGGTCTTTGGCTGCAATCCTAGATGCACTTACTTGGAGATAAGTCCCACTGAAGTCAATGATGCTTCCTTCTGGGTAAGCATATCTAAGGTAGTACTCACATTTCTTAACAGCAGTCGGGAGCTAAAAAGGGGGGGGGAGCAGGATACTTGCATCATTTTGACCGATGGTACTCCTTCTGAGAAGCTATTCTAAAATCAAAAGCAATCTGAAAAACAATTTGGTGTAGCCAAAGCTGAGAGGAATGAGTTACCTTATTTTTTGCTCTATAAGACTCACTTTTCCCCGCCTAAAAAGTAAGGGGAAGTGTGTGCGTGTCCTATGGAGCGAATGCAGGCTGCGCAACTATCACAGAAGCCAGAACAACAAGAGGGATTGCTGCTTTCACTGCGCAGCGATCCCTCTTGCTGTTCTGGCTTCTGAGATTCAGAATATTTTTTTTCTTGTTTTCCTCCTCCAAAAACTAGGTGCGTCTTGTGGTCTGGTGCATCTTATAGAGCGAAAAATACGGTAACCTGTTCCAAATCAGGTCTCTATAATATTCTGAGCCAATCAAGTCTGCTGATCAACGAAAGGTGGCAATTTTTTCTTCAACAGGAAACATTGCATTTTCACTTGACGCTGCTGTGCTGGCTTTTGCACACGCGACTCCTAGTAGCAAGAAAATTGCATAGCTTGGCATTTTCTAAGGCTTCGCATTAGTAATTGCCCCCGATTCGTAATTGCACTGCAATTCACTGGCTCAATTGATTGTAAACACACTAAAAACAATACTTCCCCACATCCCAGTTGCCAGCATAGCACCTTGCCTTACAGGAAAAAAATGCCTGAGGGGTGTGCACTGAATAATTACTCCCATTTAAAATTTCTGAGTTGAGCATATGTAAGAATTTTGTTCGAGGAAAGTAAATCCATCTTATATGTAACATAGATTGACTTCAAGACTGCTTCCTCCAACTCTCCCCTCCATTTAACTGTTGTACAGTGTTAGGTTTCGTTTGACATCATGGAATCAAGGTTTGAAGCTGGTTCCAAATCCTGATTGATTGATTGATTGATTGTACCGCCCTTCATCACAAGATTTCAGGCTGAAGTCAACAGTTGTGTTGGCCGAGTGACCTTCTCTGAGGCACAAGCCTAGGCACACGGTCTGGAGGTCCTGGGCTGCCCAGATGACAAGACCCCGTTCCAAGCCTAACTGATGTGGTCCAAAGGAAAGCGGAGAAATACATTTGGCGCCAGCTTGTCCACAGGAGTTGACGGAAGGAGACCTACAAGGTGCCTTCCAACCGTGTTAGATATTCCACTTTGGATTTCTGTAGGGTTTACTTCTCCTTTCCTTCTTCCAAAGATAGCCCCTGCAAAGCAGCAGAGATTTAGGGTCAGAGTTTTCCTTCTCTTGGATGGGCTGCCTTCCCAGGTTGCTGCACCTTACTTTCCTATACAGCATGTGCAGAAACTGCCTTTGTGACCCACAAATGGTCTTGTCCGCTCAATCCGCCAGGGCCTGTCTTTGTATGCAGAGCAAGTCCCTAACTTGGCCACCCTTTCCTGGTTTAGCTGCCCGGTTGAAGCCGTTCCTGTGCTGTGGCCACTGTCACATGCTGACAGCTTCTAGGAGCCACAGATAAAAGTGGACCAAAGGTGGACAAAATAGCCCAGATGGGGCACGACATGTTCCCCACCAGATTTAGTACCCCCTTTGTTCTTTCTCTGGCAATCGCTTGTAGCCGAGTAAGATTGTCTTCCATGAACACGGTCTTAACAGTAAGTGACAATGGAGGTCAATTCTGGATCCACACGTCCTTCCACAGTAGGGACATAGGTTTCTGGGCAGGAGTTGGTCAAGGTGAGGGTTTGCCAAGCATGCCTTCCTCTTAGCATGTTTCTTCCTTTCGTCCTGAGTTCCAGTGTCTTCGAAGCCCATAACACCTTTGGTAAAGGCTGTTCTCCAACTGGAGCACTCGCAGGCCAGTGTTTCCCAGTTGTCGGTGTTCATACTACATTTATTTTTTTTTAGATTTGCCTTGAGAGAATCTTTAAACCTCTTTTGTTGACCACCAGCATTACACTTTCCATTTTTAAGCTTGGAATAGAGTAGTTGCTTTGGAAGACGATAATCAGGTGTCCACACAACATGACCAGTCCAATGAAGTTGATGTTGAAGAATCATTTCTTTGGCACTGGTGATCTTTGCTTCTTCCAGTACATTGGCATTAGTATGCCCGTCTTCCCAAGTGATGGAATCTTTTGAGGAGTTGGAGATGGCTTTTCTAAGTGGTCCATGTTTCATAAGCATACAGTAAGGTTGATAATACAGTACCTTTGTAAACAGGCATTCTGGTTTTCCTGCGAGTGTCCTGGTCCTCAAGCGCTCTGCACTTCAATAAGGAGAAAGCTGCAGTCGCAGAGCTCAGGCGATGCTGGATTTTGGCATCAATATCGGCCCTTGTGGAACGATAACTGCTGTCAGCCATCTCACCTGGCTTCATTAAACAGAGAGCCAAGACAGTGAGGCCCTCTACTTCAGAATCATAGAAACATAGAATTGTAGAGTTGGATGAAACCCTCTACACTAACCCCCTGCAATGCAGGGATATGCAGCTGTCCCACACAGGGTTCGAACCTGCAACCTTGGCATTATCAGCACCATGCTCGAACCAACTGAGCTAGCCTGACCTGTCATGTGGTTTTTGCTCTGCCAGGACCGTTTCATCTTGATCACAAGTAACATCATGAAAGTGCTAATGCTTAGAGGTCCTTCTTTGTCTCTGTACCGAATTCTTCACGCTTTCAAAAATGCTCCACAATCTCTCAAACTTCACTATTGACAGCAGCACAAAAAAGAGAGACCCCCCCCCAAAAAGAAACGGCTGGTTATCCTATTCCATTAGAACTGTTTCCTGCTTTGCATGGATACATAAAAGATAGGATGGAGTCTAATAATCTAAAAGTGGCTGCTCAGCTCTTAACAGGTGGCCCTATAATATCTGTTTTGAGAGAGATTCTGTATAATGCGCCGGTTACTTAGGAACTGGGATATTGCTTCTGTGAGTGTGTAAACTAGCTTAGAGAACATGCTAGAGAAGAAAAACAATTTAATTGTTTTTGGTAGCGTACTCCTGCTGGATTGCCGTTAGCTCTGGGAAAGGCTAACTGCAGGAGCAAGAAGGCTTGCATGGGAAGAGATAGTCTTTTAGGTACATATTCTGGACCTTCAGTTGAGCATGGCTGTCACACCACCACATGTCAAATATTCTTCGACGCAGAGCACATTGCAGGTATTTAATTTAAAGGTAACCAAAGGCATGTCTCACTGTGGCCAAGTCTGATCTTCTTAGGAGTGGGTTTATTTAGATGCTGGACCTCAGCATCCTTGGCCATAACTTCTACTGGAGTATCCAAGAGCACTCCCAGACCAGAAACGTTTAATTTTGAGGGGATCACAATGGCATACAAGACAGGCTGAACCTCTGCTCCCAGATCAGTTGACGTCCTTTGTTCTTCCTGATTAGGCTTCGTTTCGTTAGTCTTTGACCAGTCTATTTTTGCTTCCCAGAACTGATTCAGAATATCAGCAGCTTTTCTGAAACTGAGAGAGAAAGCCTTGTTGGGTACACTCTTGGGAGAAGGTCACGTCCATTTTATAACAGCTGCACTGGCTTCTAGTAGGTTTCGGGACACAATTCATTAAAGACCTAAAATGCTTTGAGCCCAAGGTAGCTAAAGGACCCGCTCCCCCCCTATAGGCCTGCCTACTTTTTAAAATCTGCAGAGCAGGATTTCCTCCACATCCCATGATTTGGGGAGACACAGCTGGCTGGGGCATTAGAGAGGACGTTCTTTGGGGCAAATTGATTTGGTCCCCTTTCTTGGCATTATATTTGCTTCCCTGACACCACATCAGCCTGTCAGTGCATGTTCTCCAGACAGATGACAAATGCTGGGGTTTGGTGCTTTGTTTTTGAAAATTGAATATTACTTGCTTCACCGGGCTTTGATTCTCTCTCCCCCCCCCCCCCCGGCACCACAAACACATACATAGGCTTTCTTATGAGAAACAGGTCACTTAGTCAGTGCTTCCTGGTCAAATAAAACAATGTTGTGACACGCAAACTGGCTTCATGATGACGCCAGTTCCACAACCGTAGCAGAAGCACTGCTTTGAACCTGTTTGTGATGTCTTTATGATGCTGCAACAAATGCACCTGGTTTTCAAACTTTCTATAGCTAAGGACCCCTCAAGCATTGCAGGGGATTCTGGGTAATTCCAACGCATATCATGTGGCAAATTGGCCAGGCTTAGGCCTCTTGGTGGCCTTCTGTGAGAATGAGCACACACAGTGCTTCCTGCCATATTTGCATTGCAGTTTTTCAGTGGTGGGCAATGTTTCTTTTTTATAATTTTCTATTAAGTTTTCTGTTTTACAATTTAAAATACTCTGTTTTCCATCCTTAAGATATCAACGACTTCCCTTCTTCTCTTTCCATGGTTCATTTTACATACCAAAAATCCCTGCATATTTTACGAAAACTTGAACTGGTGGAGGTGGTTGCTGCAACATCTCCATAGTGCCCAGACCTGGAAATAGCTGCCCGGACACTAGGTTGGTGCATGTAGCCACCCAGAGCTATAGAAACGACTGTGGTATCTTTGACCATAAAGAGTTAACTGTCTGCCATGTGCATTCCTTAGCTTCAATGCTTCAGGTGAAATACCTGAATTTCTGTGCTTGGAAGTTCAAGTTAATAAGGAAGCTGAGCCACTGCTGCAAAGGAGGTGAAAACGTCTATTCTAGTACAAATGTTTTACTAGGAAGAAGGGGGGGGGGAAATGCTTTCGGATACCAAATACTCCAGTAAAAAGCGCCACTTGATGACTTTATTTCCGTAACTTGGTGTTGGCTGAGATTTCAGAAATTGCCTTTGAAATCTGGCGAGAATATGCTTCTGTGTAATAACAAAAACGTCCTCCAATTGCTTCCTCTTGCATGCTCTGTAACCTATCATTACCAGAAAAAAATTAGTTGTTTTTTTTTTACTGGTCAAGCTCATCTGTCTGTAGTTAGGCGGAGAAATCTGTACGCCATAGATGAGTCATTTTCAGCACTGACTCAGATCCTTTTCTCGACTCTTTTGGAAGGAGATGCTCACTTCAAAACCTTCTGGAACTGAAGGCTTGGCTGCCGCGTTTGCCTCTTAATAATGAGCTATGTGAGCAGAATCTGCTTCTCTTCCTGAACAGGCCTCTAGGGATAGGGAGTGGGGCAAGGATTGCTTTGGGCCAGTTAAATGGCCCCCGTGGGCCGCTTGTGGCCCATGGGCCTTAGGTTGCCGACCCCTGGGTAAGAGCATAAGGAAACCCCCCCCCCCTCGATTCAGTAGTGGTGAGGTGTTGTTGTTGTTGCTGTTGTTTAGTCGTTTAGTCATGTCCGACTCTTCGTGACCCCATGGACCAGAGCATGCCAGGCACTCCTGTCTTCCACTGCCTCCCGCAGTTTGGTCAAACTCATGTTCATAGCTTCGAGAACACTGTCCATCCATCTCATCCTCTGTCGTCCCCTTCTCCTTGTGCCCACCATCTTCCCCAACATCAGGGTCTTTTCCAGGGAGTCTTCTCTTCCCATGAGGTGGCCAAAGTATTGGAGCCTCAGCTTCAGGATTTGTCCTTCCAGTGAGCACTCAGGGTGATTTCCTTCAGAATGGAGAGGTTTGATCTTCTTGCAGTCCATGGGACTTTCAAGAGTCTCCTCCAGCACCATAATTCAAAAGTATCAATTCTTCGGCGATCAGCCTTCTTTATGGTCCAGCTCTCACTTCCATACATCACTACTGGGAAAATCATAGCTTTAGCTATACGGACCTTTGTTGGCAAGGTGATGTCTCTGCTTTTTAAGATGCTGTCTAGGTTTGTCATTGCTTTTCTCCCAAGACACAGGCGTCTTTTAATTTCGTGGCTGCTGTCACCATCTGCAGTAATCCTGGAGCCCAAGAAAGTAAAGCACCCGCAAAGGTGTTCCATGAAGCTGCCACCCTATTTAAATATTGCTTGCTGTGGGTGCTGGGCTACTTTCTTCTGCACCGGTGGAATATCCTCCTGTGACCCAGGCAGTCTGCATGCTGTGCCGTTTGTGTTGGACAGAGCCTCTTAAAGTCTTAATAAGACACTAGCTGTGGGAAACAGCTATAGGATTAAGTGCTTTCTGCATTTGGGCTCCATCTGCACGAAGCATTTAAAACAGCATCGTACCACTTTAAATGGTCGTGGCTCCCCCCGCCGCCGAGTACCCTGGGAACTGTAGTTTGTTAAGGGCGCTTAGGGTTGTTAGGAGACCCTCGTTCCCCTCACAGAACTAAAATTCCCAGATTTCCCAGAGGGATTTATTGTTACACCACTCTGGGAACTGTAGCTTTGTGAGGGGAACGGGGGTTTGCTAATAACTCTCACCTGGTCCCCCTACTCGCTTACCAGGCAGGTGGGATATAAATAATAAAACTGTTAGAATTATTATAATTTTTATTTTGCCTTCTTGGGGCAGTTGGGACTCTGCTCGGATAATGAGCGGAGGAAGTCTATAAGCTAATCTTGGTGGTTTTGCTACTTGCCTTCCTTCAGTAGAAATGATTTAGTACAAAATGTTTAACTTTCTCCCCTGTCCAGGCTTTGTTTTAAAACGAGCTGCTTAAACCAATGTGTGTGTGGTTGGTTTTTTTATAGTACAGGTCCAACCAGTCTGAACCTTCCTGCTTTCCGTAGCGTTTTAAGGATTGTGTAGTTTAAGATCCAAATTGTCCTGAAATTGGTAACTGCCTGGCTCCCAGGCCTTACTAGCAGGGGGAGTCTGTCAATTTCCTGCAAGTACCTTATAGCAAAGTCTCCTACGTTTACTGTAAAACTCTCCAACATCAGCTTTTAGAAGCTGTTTTGCATAACATGAAGCTGCATGTGGGGAAAACATATATGCGCTTTGCAACTAATGTGGGTCCAATTGAGACCATGTGGAGATCTCTGAATGCCAGGCTGGTGACTAGGGAAAGCAAAATGTCACTTAGAGAAGGATCTGAAATATTTTCCTTGAATTAGTTTTATTCTGGATTGTTTTGTTTGAATTTTTTTTCTTTATGCGTTGCAAACTGCTTTGGGGTTTGTTCTTTAAAATATAAAGCGGTATAAAAATGGAATCAATAATAATAATGATGATAATGATAATAATAATATCAGGGAAAGGGGAACAGTGTCTAGACCATGGGTAGGCAAACTAAGGCCCTGCGGCCGGATCTGGCCCAATTGCCTTCTAAATCCGGCCTGCGGATGGTCTGGGAATTAGTATGTTTTTACATGAGTAGAATGTGTGCTTTTATTTAAAATGCATTTCTGGGTTATTTGTGGGGCACAGGAATTCGTTCATTATTTTTCCCAGAATATAGTCCGGCCCCCCACAAGGTCTGAGGGACAGTGGACCGGCCCCCTGCTGAAAAAGTTTGCTGACCCCTGGTCTAGACTTGCCATTGTGGCGACTGCAGCCCAGGTTTAAGGTGCCATTTGGCGATTAGATTTTATGTCTTGAGTTTCTAACCGTGTGTGTGTGTGTAGCGCTGAATAAAGCACGTACTGTTGGCATGCCGTGGGCAGATAAACACTGACCAGCACTCCTTTCCAAAGCAGTAATATTAATGAT